CAACAGACAGACCGACAGACAAACAGACAGACAGACAGACGGACAAATACTATACCGTGGGTTTTCAACGATTGACTTCCACATCCTTCCTCTCTCAATGTCAGACAGACGTATTCGTGAATAGACACTGACACATATACACTCTATACACATCGCTATAATAAATATGTGTGAGATAATACACTGTCACCCGAGCGATATATGCCATAACACCTCGAGCGTCAGCGAGGGGTGTTCATGGCATATATCGCGAGAGGGTGACAGTGTATTATTTGACATACATACCGAGAAGAAATATAGTCATTTCACCCTAAAACACCCCTAAAACCGAATAAAGTGACCCCAAATCATGCTCTAGAGATGTTATATGGAATAAACTCGTCCACGTGCGCTGGTCACCTCTCGCAAAATTCTTATGTAATCTGTATCTGTCCATATACGTCTGTATAGTAACCAATACTGGCATGAAGTAGACGGGTAGAGGAGAGCGCATGGGAATTTTAGTCAAATAGCAGTCCTGATCTAAAACTTTCAACAGTTTCAGCATTTACTTGATGGTCGCTGAGTGCATTCCAATCGGAGACTGTTCGGACAATGAATGTGTTTTTTCTAACGGGTGTTTTACTACGTTGAAGTTGAATAAATATCACTCCGTAATGTTTCATTTCTTTACGGCCATTTTTGATAAAGAATGGACCAAAGAAATCTATGCCAGTGTATGTAAACGGGTGTTCTTCACTTCCACGATCTATAGGTAAATCAGCCATTTTTTTATCAGGAAGTGGGGCTCTCATCTTTCTGCACGTTATACACTGAGAAATCATTTTTCTAACTGCTGAATTCCCATGAATCACCCAGTATGTCTGACCAGTAATGTCTGACCAATTTGATCAAATTTTGCTAAATACTTGGCGTGGACGTTCAACTGGCTTGAAAAGTGTTTAACCGTCGACACTGACCATGCGCGTCTCAGCTGAGCCACACCTAGCTGGGGCTGCTGCGGAAAAAGATCCCAAGGCAAAACCTCTACTTTTTAGTGACATTTCTGATAAAGTAGGAGCTTCGGACCAGAATATAGTGAAACTAATTTTTCACAAGTGCGAAGGAGACATAAATTTACTCTTTGGTGATATTTCTGACAAGGTAGTTTCGGAATATAGTCAAAATCAAACGGAGGTTTATTTCAAGTCCACAGGAGTAATAATTCTACGTTTTGGTGACATCTTTTACTACGAGGCGGTTTCGGGATATACATGTGCTGGTTTTCAGAGCATTCATGTGCTACATGTAATTACAAGTTCAAAGGGGGGGATAGATTTGATTTTTACCGATATATCTGATAAAGAAGAAGAATGACCAGCTTAAAAACAAAAGGTAAATCACATAACCCTCGTTAAAAAACTATAGATTTACAAATAATTTGTATGCACGCGTGGCTTAAATGTAAACTAATTCCCGTTTTCAAACCATACCCATATGATATGACTTAGTGTAATAGAATTATAAAGAATAAACGTGAAAAGCGGCTCGAGGTTGCCCTCGATCTTCACTGAAGCTTGACTAAATGGACAGGCTTCAGTGATCAGCATATCGCCACGGTCATATAACATCCCTAGGTATGTATAGTTTATAAATAAACGTTATTTATGATGTCTCACTCCTGATTGGTGGATCCTTGTCTTTATCCAGAATGACTTGACAGTCACTGGTTTATACTAATCCGCAGACCTTGATAATGGTCGAATATTTTTTTTTTTTTTTGAAACTCCATCCGTAATGTCATATAAATTTTAATGCAAAGAGTATTTATTTAAGGGCAACTCCTTGGGATCTTCCCTCCAAATGGATTTTGCCGGGAAAATAACCAATTTTCTCTTACTCACGGATCTTATATCAATCCCTCTCTGCACTTGAATTCGATCTTAAATTTTAATTTTAATTTTAAAATATTATAGAGGTTGACTTAGTTTAAAATTTCCGACCAGTCATTATAACCAGCGAACATCTTCTTAAGCTCCCACAGAAGTATCAACATCAGGTACGCTCCGGAAAAATTGTTTAAGGGGTTTAATCGTTTTTAAGGTTTATGTAAGGTTTTTACGAAAAGCCGTGGAAGGCAAAAAATAAACACTTGCGAGATTTTCAAACCCATGGAGTGCACCTTTCATGATCACCTATTAATAGATATAGAATTTTACTTGCTTGATGGGCCCTAGCTTAAGTTGACTGGATTTTAGAAAGCCAGTTAGCCCCATGTCTTGGAAAATGTCTGTTTTGCGCACAGGCCCTGAGAGACTGTGACATGTGAGTTGGGAGGATATTTTTGTACATGTAGCTATATGTGGGTTACAAAGATAAACATACACCCAACCGATATTATCTCTGTCATAACGTCCTACTTAAAGTGATAATAACTCTTCGTTTCGGCCAAAAAATGAATTTTCCTGCAGTGAACAACAATTTTCTCATACTTACCAATGGTTAATGAATCCATTTTTACATTCAAAGTTAGTACCTGTTTTTTTTCTAAAAAGTTTGGTTTTTTGTTAAATTCTCTTAAGAGATTTTAACAGAGTATAGCCATCAATGGAGGTTACGTCGTCTAAAGACAAGCTCAGATATCAGAATAATAGCTATAACTGCCGTTTTGTGGTAAAACAGAATATATTATATTTCCATGAGTTATTCACAATGTTTTTACTGTGAAATATAGATCTCATATGAAGAGTTATTATCCCTTTAAGCTGCCTGTCACCGCCTTGTCTTTGTCCTTATTTTGGACGGCATTTTTTCATTTGTTTCTCTAACCTGGATTTCAAAGCGATAAAAAAACGTCTACCATTGCGGTTTACTATATATTTCGTTCGGCTGTGAACATCCAGTTTTTGTCAACACCAGAGATTTTGTTTGCCTTGTTGTGTTCACATACAGTATGTAAACTATTTCAACAAATGAAATGAAGACTCCATTACCATAGACATCATCGGTCTAAATGGATCGACCCAACTATGTGGGACTCTCACTAATACCCCATTCCCACAGATTTTGGGGAGTCTCACTAGATTACTGTCAGCTTAGCCAGCTTAAATTTCTGTCCCGCCCACTACAAGCTGTAAGGGGGTAATTTACTACCGTGCGTGCTCGGCTGACATCAATTTAGCGTGAACCCCCAGGGAGTTAGATCGATCTAGTTTGGATCAATCTAATCTCTGGGAATGGGGTCCAAGGGCGTATTCTCAGACATTTAGATTGATCGATCTATCCCCGTGGGGAGTCTCACTAGATTGCTGTCAGATAATCCGGTTTAAATGTCCGTCTCGCCTACATGTACTGCAAGCTGTATGGGTTTAGTTAACTTTCGTGCCCGCTCGGCTGACAGCTATTTAGCGTGAACCCCCAGGGAGTTAGATCGATCTAGTTTGGATCAATCTAATCTCTAAGAACAATCAGCTACGCTGAATGACACCCCTCCTCTTGTTTCATATGTACTCGAATAATCACCAGCATTTCTGTATTCTAGTTAACGCCGAGAGGGGGCGTGTTAATCTGTTAAGCTAATTTCAGGCAATGTAAGTCCCCGCAGAATTGCTTTGTAGACCAATGGTGACTATGGCCACATACAGAACAGTGGACTTAGGGCGCATTCTCAATACAAAACCGCCTAATCTTTTAATAGTCTCTCCGCCTCTCACACGCCTCCCCACACGTCGTCCCTGCGGGGTACAATAATTAAATCTCGGCTCCGAACATGAATATCTCTGGTGGTATTATCTCCGTAGAAAGTCGATCCATTGCTGCTCTACGGGCCAATTCATTCCTTTTTCGTCTCTGTTCTGAAAGATAATAGAACAGAAGAGCTTTTTTCCTTCGATCGCCTTCAGCCGTCATGCTTTCTTCACCACGAGTTTAACTGATGAGCAAGCGCACTTAATATTTCTCAGGTAGAACGGAGCCGAGATTTAATTACTGTACCCCGCAGGGACGACGTGTGGGGAGGCGTGTGAGAGGCGGAGAGACTATTAAAAGATTAGGCGGTTTTTCTTTCATGTACGTCCGCCATTTTTAGTTCTCAGGATTTGTAAAGCCTGGCTCAATTCGTTGAGAATGCGCCCTAATTTGTCCAAGGGTCAAAAATGGCCGACCCACTTGAATACTTCCCCACGGGATATCTATTCAGCGTCTATTAGCGGATTAGACGGCAAGCTTTGTAGTGGGTCGCCATATTTGACCCTTTGACAAGTTAGCCCCCTATTCTATGGTAATGGGGGCTGAGAAGCTCATCCTATCTCGTTTGAGATGTTTTATCAAGTGTGCAAGTGCAACAAAACAGACAGATGTGCACCCTTATTTTCAACTTTGTAAAAAAAACAAAGGGCCTACAGAAAGAATTTGTTGAATAATTCTAATAATATCATATATTAAAAATGGGAGACTAAGTGTAGAAAATATTGTTCCGTTTGTTTAGGTTTGTTTTTTCTCCAACTGTTGGGGTGGCAAAGGGGCCAGAGTTAGTCCGCCTGTTGATTTGAAGATTATCACGCGTATACAAGTACCTGTACATGCTGTATATAGAATTACAGAAGATGGCGACAGTGCAAAATTTGTGTCGAGTGGACAACAGCCCGGCAGCCATGACACATAACAATCTGTGATTACGGTATACCCGAGCAAAAAATATTCAACAAAATGAAATTGAAACATTATTTTCTTTCACAATAATGAACCCGTTAAAGGCAGCAACACAGAAACCTATAAAGACCATTTAAAACCTTTACAATCACAGCAAGAATTTCATTTACGATTTTTTTACGAACACATCTTGGTTCATTTAACAATGTTCAAATAGTTTTTTTCTTGAGATCCTGCCATTCTTATAAAATTCATTTTGAAAAAGATGAAAGATGTCATGTCATTAGATACTTCGCCATATAAAACTGTCATTTGAATTTACTTCAGAAACTTCAATTACATCAACATTATTTCGATAATTTTTTTTTTTTTTTTTCATTTCTTAAATTGATTTCCCTTTTTTCTTTTCTGTTTATACTAGCACAAATCGATATTGGTCAATGGAAAGTTTCAATCTCGTCTCGCGGGAAATCTCTCAAATGTCAGAAGCCCCGGATGTGAGACAATTCCAGGCCTGTCTTGTCGCCACTGTTTTCACTGGTTCATCTCACTCCACTTCAATTTACCGGAATCCAGGAGAATTTTCTTGGCATTTTTCAGGAGTTCTTCTTTGGATACCTGAAATGACATAATTATTGATACTCTGATAAGAAGTACATAAAGCAGCTTTAAAAACATATTTAACAGTTTACGTAAACAGATCCAATGCCCCTTTGTTCTTTAAGAAAAGCTATCCAAGTGTGTGTGTGTGTGTGTGTGTGTGAGTGTGTGTGTGTGTGTGTGTGTAAAAAGTCTTCAGTTAACATAAGTGGGTGGCAAATGGGCGTTAGTCAAGAAAATGACGGGTAAATAATCATATATTTTATTCATGCATTAAGGTGTGGAAAAACCTCTAGGCGAGATGACACACACAAACACGCTCACTATTTCAAATAATTAAAACTCACAGCCACTTTTAAACAACTTTCTCCGGCCTCACCTTCTGCCTGATCCCCACCCTGGGGAACGTCTCCATGACGACATAGACACACACACACACACACACACACACACACAGAATAGGTCAAAACATAGTCACCTTTTGCCTGATCCCCACCCTGGGGAACGTCTCCATGACGACATAGTGGTCCGGCCACATGTGATCCAACAGCTGAAATGAGGAATTAGAGGGATGTTATATCCATAGTACAGTAAGCAGAAAGCCCGAACACAAACCATATATACATGTACATGTAGTCTAAATGACGTCATATGGCGACCGTTTCCTCTCACTGGGATCTATTCTTTGATTTTTTTAATAGGTCATTTGGCATCTTTCGTAAAACCCCACCATTTCTTAGTCTCAGAACTGCTCTCTTCATTACAATGTAGTAGTAACAGAAAACAGTGCACTGCATACTGTATGTGTACTTAACACGATGGACATTCACCTACCTCTTTCTCACAGTGAGCTCTCAGTTCGTCCTCTGTGATATCTTGGTTTTTGGTGGGCCTGGGAAAAAACAGAGCAACACAGTTAATTTCCTACATACACACGAACACTACCATACATACACGTCAGCATACAGTCGTACACTGTGCATAGATCCCATTAGTATTATCGTAATAAAAATGATTAAAAAGTACAGATATAAAGTTGCGATCGTAATGAATACATTGTACCTTTCATAACTAATACAATATGAATTTGTTAAGAGGTTAAACAGTGTAAGTAAGAGAGTTAAAGAGTGCATGTGTTGTTCAATAATAACAAAAGAACAAGGGAGTACAGTTATCATTCCTTCAGGATGATACAATGAAAAAGCTGTATTAATAGAAATTGCGACCTAAGGTCAAGTAACATACCATTGCCTAATAAGAGAATGATTACATGATGACGTAATGATGGAAAGTTATGGAAAAACGGATAATCATAGACATTGTGTAAGAGATGAGGGATTATTACATTACCAAATAAGGTAATGTAGGAGAAAGACTTTGTAATACATAATGACATTGGAATGATGATCTATAGGATAAAAGAGAATACATTGTAATTGGAAAATAAGAATATACGAATAAATCTTTTAGGCTCCCAAAAAGATATATGTTCTTCATTAATAGTACTGGCGAAATAGCTGCACTATAGTATTATACAACATTGGTCAAAAAGGTTGTCCCACCCCAATTTCCCTGTACTTTTATTTACAAATGATCACCTCACAGCTGTGAATTGTTAGAAAAAGTGCTTTTTATGACAGATACCGTCTCTAACATGAGTAATGGTTAAAATAATACAAAATAGTGGTGAAAATATACATATTTTATACCATTTAGTAAAATTTATAAGAGGTACCCCCTCAAATCCACTGTTTCACTGTGACTTCTACAGATGTAAAGAAATGTCTATTAAATTGAAAAGACGCCATCAAATGTCACCAAATTCACACACAATTAGCATTAGGGTGTGCCTGTTAAAGGTCACGTGCCTAACAGCGTGTGCGTCTACCGCGTACTGCTATAATCTCCTGTAGGCGGCGCGACAAGCCTTCAACACGGGTAACAATTCTGTTTGGTGGGATATTGTCCCAATCTGCTGACACAAATTGGGGGAGTAGGTCCACGTTTTTATGGGGTTGGTTCTCCTTTGCATTACACACTCCAATTCATGTCACAGTTGATTAGTAAATCAAATATCAGGGCTCAAAGATGGTGGTTGCCTCCTTGGAGCATTGTGTTTCTTCAGCAAACACTTGCCAGGCGAGAGGTGTGAGCAAGTGTGCAGTCATGATGAAGCCTGGAGTTAACCCCAAAGTAAGTTCTTGAAGATGGAATGATATATCAGCTGAGAATGCTACGTTCAGTGATCACACAGGCACCTGAACCTAGCCATCCATCACTGGAAGGAAGTCGGTTTTGATGCAGAATCAAATTATTTCTTGTATCCCATCGATGGTCAAATGAGGGTCCACAGACATGTTAAAAATGCCTCTTGGAAGGGTGTGTGTAGGATAATGTCGCCTAAGGTGTTAGATCAGTCCGTATTTAGAGAACATTCCAAGCCCATGGTATTAGTACATTGTTTCTTTTGGAACAAAACGTAACAGGGGCATTTTAATGTAACATTCTCAACGGAAATCTCACTCAGTTTGCAAGAGGTGACTTCAGGGATGCTACTGGCTTCATTGTGACAACGCACTTGCTCACAGCTCTCGTCTGGCAAGCGATTTGTTGCAGAAACACAGGGCTCTGATGATAGGACAACCGTCTTTGAGACCTGATATTAATCCTACTAAGCACCTGTGGCATTAATCGGAATGTGCATTGCAGAGGCGAACCAATTCCCAAATAATCTTGACCAATTCCACCACGCTCTTTAGGATGAATGGGACAATATCCCACTTAACAGAATTGTTACCCGTGTTGAAGGCTTGTCGCGCCGTCTACAGGAGATAATTGCAGTACGCGGTAAACGCACACGCTGTTAGGCACGTGATCTTTGGCGAGCACACCCTAATGCTAATTGTGTGTGAATTTGGTGGCATTGATGGCGCCTTTTCAATTTAATACACATTTCTTTACATCTGTATAAGTCACAGTGAAACAGTGGATTTTAGGGGTACCTGTTATAAAATTTACTGAATGGTATAAAATGTGTATATTTTTAACACTAATTTGTATTTTTTAAATCATTTATCATGTTAGAGACGGTATCTGTAATAAAAGCAATATTTATAACAATTTACAACCGTGAGGTGATCATTTGTAAATAAAAGTACATGGAAATAGGGGTGGGACAACCTTTTTGACCAATGCTGTATAAATAAAATAAAGGCAACTCACATGACACACAAGACGATTGTATCGCAGTCCACCACCCCTGGCTCCTTAAAACCGACAGCCTGCAATACGAAATATGAAGTGGGTTTCTGTTAAAATGTCTCTCTCTCTCTCTCTCTCTCTCACACACACACACACACACACACACACACACACAAGCACACACGCATAGACACACACAAATGCACACACATTCATTCACACTAACTCTCTCTCACTCTCTCTTTCTCTCTCTCTCTCTCTCTCTCACCTGTGCCTGGCTAACTTTGGGATGTTTTTCTACCGCAGCTTCTATAGCAGCAGGATAAACCTTGTCGCCGTAGCGATTAAAATAAAGTACATTGGCTTTTCTGCCACTGAAGTATGTAAACCCGTACTCATCCATAGACCCAATGTCCCTAAAATGTAAATCATTTTTACACTTCAGATAATGTGAGGTACAATATTAATACATTGCGGTATAAACATAATGTTTTCCTAAGGCGTTCAACTTGTTATATTACGTGGCGCGAATAAAAAGGATGAAAAAGTCATTCAAGATTTTCAAAACTTACACTTCTTCTTATTCACAGCCGCAACTATCACAACCATTCAGTGTGTGGTCCCAACTGTGACACTCACCCAGTGTGTTATCACAACTATCACAATCATCAATTGTGTTGTCACAACTATCACACTCTCCCAGTGTGTTGTCACAACTATCACACTCTCCCAGTGTGTTGTCACAACTATCACAATTATCTGGTGTGTTGTCATAACTATCACAATCATCCAGTGTGTTCTATCACAATCGTCCAGTGTGTTGTCACAACTATCAAAATCATCCAGTGTGTTCTATCACAATCATCCAGTGTGTTGTAACAACTAACACATTTTCCTTCCATGCGGTCAAATTTAACATACCCTGTGTAGTACCAACCAGACGGGGACATCACTTTCCTGTACAAGTCTTCACAACCGTAATATGTACTGAACATCGAAAATCCCCTTACGCATATTTCCCCTTCAACGCCAATTGGCACGATCTTCTTGTTTTTATCAACAATTTTCACCTGAAATAAAATAATAGAATAATAACAGAAGTAGAATAACGTAACACAAGAGAATATAAATTATTCAGTGTATGATTAATGTGAAAAAATGATTCCAAAATATCTGCTCCATAGAAATGAGCGAACAGTATATTTACCTCAGTATGAGCCATTGGAAATCCTACGCTACGGTATCTATGGTCGTCATTGTCATCCCTCGGGTACGTTAAAAAATTGTACCAGGATTCTGTGCTGCCCATCCCTACCTGAAAACGGATAGGTTAAACTATTGTACCAGTATTCTATAGTGCCCAGTCCCATCTAAATACCTGTTTCAGCATTCTATAGTTTTGTGAAACTGGCCATTGTCTTTCAAGTGCAAAACCAAGTAGGAGATAAACTTACCCCAACTTCTGGAAATAGTTTCGAACAATCCTCCCGCATTTTCCTCGTTATGAGCATGGATGTGAGGGTAACTGAAAGCGCAAAACACTTCTGTTTAATGCATTTACATATAACATACTCATACATTTGGGTGTTTGTTCTGGTCTATTGTGTTTAAGAATTCTCAAATTCCAATATCCCGACCGAGACCCTATAAAAATGGCCAGCATTTTACCGGGAACTTGTAGCATAATTTTCTATACCGTTTGTAAGTTGCGAGCTTCTGTTCATGTTCTTTTATGTTTCATGCCATTCGTACACTTTGCTTTAACACCAAGGTAAAAAACTCGTCTGCACTGGTGACTTAAATTCATACAAACGCACCTCGTTTCGCAGACGATATGTCATATTTCTGCACGATGCCAGCGTCAAGTTCCAACGCCCTGAACATGAATGTGGGATAGACCTCGAGGTTGGTGATCCTTTAACAACAGCGGACAGGTGAATTGTCTTGTGACAGGTGATATTTTCAATAAAGGTGCCTCCAATAAGGTTCAAGTATAATGGTAACCATTACCTAACTGTATGAAAATAACGCTTTAATCTTCACAGAGTAAATAAATACAAATATGAAAATATATAGATGAAAGAAAGATACTGATAACGTAACACCTTGCACTATCAAACCTACTTGCACTCATGAATGCTCTTGAATAAATCCTCCGAATGGTAGCCCTCATCTTCGTTCTCTCCCTGGAAATCTACGTCCCACAGTGTGGACGGTAATATGACCAGCTGGATGTCTTTATCATACTCCACACTTACCCAGTAAACGTAGTCCACCGTCAACTCATCGTGGACGGGATTGACCACGCCCAATACCACCGGCTGGAGAAACACGACACAAGTATTTTAAGGGATAATAACTGCTCGTATGAGATTCACATTTCACAATAAATACATGGTAAACAACTCACAGAAATATAAAAAATATCATTTTATCACTTAAAAAAGTGGTTATCGCAATTATTCTGGAATCTGTACTTGCCATCAGGCCACGTGGACCTTCATAGATGGCGCTATCTCTTAAGAAATTATTTCAAAAAGTAAACTTAAAAAAACCTGGTCTAGCTTTCAATGTCGGGATGGTTTCATTAATCATTGGTTAGAATGGGAAAATCACACCCTTTGCCCTAGGAAAATCCTTTTTTAGGGGGGCAAAATCTATAAACCACGCAGAACACTTACTAATCTCAAACAATGAAGATGAAATTATTCTTAT